CTTCAAAAATGTTCATTCAGCACAGCCATGGTGGTGCATACCTGTAATCCCACTACTACTCGGGAGGCTGAGGCAGGAGGATTGCCATAAGTTTGAGGCCAGCTGAGCTACATACTGAGCTCAAGGCCAACCTCAAATACACAGCAAGATCCTGTTAACAAATCGAGCAATAACAGCTGATGGGCTGTGGGAAGAAAGGAACCCTCTCTGCTGTTGGAGGGAATGCAGCCACTCTGGAGATTCCTCAAAAGACTAGGATTAGAGGTCCCATTTGACCTAGCTATTCACCTTCTGGGTATTTTACCAGAATTAAAAATACATCAGAGCAATATATGTGCACCCATGTTAACAGCAGCACAATTTGTAAAGAATGCAAAGGCCCATTAACCTAGGAGTGGATTTTAAAAAAGATGTATTTTTTTTACAATGGAGTACTACTCTGCCATAAAGAAGAATAAACGAGCCTTTTATTAGGTAAATGGATGCAATTTGAGGCCATACTCCTAAGTGAAATGAGACTTGCATGTGAGACTCTCATTGGTCTCATTAGTATAAGACGCTGAAAAAGATCCAAAATGTACAACAGATACTGTGAAATGGGACGAAACTGTAGAAAAGAGAAGCTAGGATGGGAGAAAGGAGAAGAGGAAGGGAAAAAGAAAAAATATATATGTATGTATACACAAAATAGTTAAGATAGTTTTGCTATTGCTATTGGGTCATTGAAAAGGTTTGTACCTACATTGTTGCTTCAGTATTTCATGCCTATATCTTGTAATGTGAGCAACTTCTTTGAAGATAATATGCATAGTACTATTGTTACTCTCCTACAATCTCGTTTTTGAAATTTTGTTTTTGTCTTTCTTCTTTTCATACAGGCAGTTGAATTTAGGACTTTGCACTTGCCAGGAAGACACTTAAGTCACTAAATCCCCAGCCCATTGTTTGCACCCCCCCCATCAAACTCACAAAAAAAGAAAACATTACAAAGTGCTGGGGAGCAGGTGTGGTGGTGCATACCTATAATCCTAGCACTTGGGAGGCTGAGGCAGAAATGCTGACAGTTTCAGGCCAGCCTGAACTACATAGTGAGACCCTGTCTCAAAAAAAAAAAAAAAAAAAAAAAAAAAATGCTGGGCAAGTAGCTCAGTGGTAGAGTGTTCTAGATTTGATCTCAGTACTATAAAACAAAAACCAAAAAACTCCACTAAATGAAAAAATTAAAAAGGGCTAAGGATATATAGTTTGGGGCTTCTTGTGTTTAATCCTTAGTACAGAAGATAAAAACAGAAAAAGCCAGGCTTGGTGATACACACCTATAATCCCAGTGCTCTGGGAGGCTGAGGCAGGTGGATCACAACTTTTGAGCCCAACCTGGGCAGTTTAGCAAGAGACCCTGTCGCCAAATAAAAAATGATAATTTCTTGTCTGCCTTTTGGCTGCAGTCAAGTGTAGTATCTGGTGGTGTAGGATCAGGCCACTCTCTGATATATGCTCTGGCATAGGACAGTATATCAGGTGGATTTCCAGAGCTGGGAAGGGCAACAGTAGCTTGGTTCACTCTGCACATTGACCACCTGGTGTTTTGGTGGCTCTAGCCATGATGTCCCCCTTGGGGGAAATAAATGGTGGCTCATGCCTGAAATCCCAGCACTTGGGAGGCTGAAGCAGGAGGATCGTTGAGAGTTCGAGACCAGCCTGGGTTACAAAGTAAGCTCAAGGCCAGCCTGCACTACATAGTGAGACCCTGTCTCAAAAAAGACTATAAAACCAAAAAATTAAGAGGGCGGTGTTACATAGTGTGAAGCCATCAGACTGCCCGAATTCCACGTATAGCACTGTGACATCAGGCAGAATTGATGACTTGGGAGAGGGCGTGTGGAGGACGGGTGGAACACTCCAGGCAGCTGGATGGAGCGGCTCACACACCAGCCGGCACACTTACAGCGTAGACCCACTCTCTGCGGTGGGGTGAGGATGATGTCACACCAGAGTGGCTTGAGATTTGTTGTTCCTAATTTTTTTATTTACTGTGTAAAGTAACAAAGGTGCATACAAGGTAAAAGCACGATTCCCAGTCATTCCTGCACAGCCACTGGTTTCATCCGCATCCTCCCTCCTCGGTCTTTTGAAGCTAATCCCAGGTGTATGTTTTCGTGTATTAGCATTTCAGTGAGTACCACTGAAAGGAAGGACTCCCTCAGGACACTGGGGAATGAACCCCAGGGTGCTGCACCCCTGCGCTCCACCCCCAGTCCCTTTTACTTTGAAATTGAGGCAGGGTCTTCCAACTGGCTCAGTTGCCCAGGCTACGCTCAACCGTCACGATCCTCTTGCCTAGGCTTCCCTGTTGTGCCACCTTGTCCTGCTTTCTTTACCCTTTGTTTGGTGTTGGGAATCTGACTTGGGGCCGCATTTATTTTACCACTAAATTACACCCCCAGCCCTGTTTCATTTAGTCCATTTATATTTAAGGACTATGGCTTAGGACAGCTCAGCTGACAGGACAGAGGGGTAAACTGAATTTTTCCCTTGCTGGTATGGAACCCATCAGGGTGGCTTTATTATTTAGCTTAGTTTTTTTTTTTTTTTTTTTTTTTTTTTTTGGTACCAGGAATCTAACTTGGAACCATGCACTTGCCAGGCAGGTATGTGCCACTTGAGCTATATCCCCATCCTTAGTTAATTTGTTTTGAGACAGGATCTTGGTCTATAGCCCAGGCTAGCTGCCAACTTGCAGCAGTTCTCCTGCCTCAGCCTCCTAAGAGGGTGGCTTCCTTTAAAACAGTATCCTGCAGTTGAGAGATTTTTGGCTCATCTCCCATGTGAATGTAGACAGAGTACAGAGATCAGGTGACTCCGGATCCAAATTCTGACTCCATCACGTAACAGCTTTGAAGTGGAGCAAATACATTAACTTGACTGCTAACAAACTTTTAGTAAATATTAGCTGGCAAAAATTGAGCATGGTGATATGTGCCTGTTATTCCAGCACTCCAGAGGTTGAGGCAGGGGGGTCACTGTGAATTCTGCAGCCTGAACTACAAAGTGAGACCTTGTCTCAAAAACAAACCTCCCAGAACATATATACACACACGCACATACACATACATGATATTAGCTGGCAGAATAAATCTCCCTGAGGTCTAATTTTCCTCATCTGAAATGAAGACAAGGAGCTGTTGGAAGAGTTAGTGTGTTAGTACGATATTAAATGTTTGCTGCTGCTGACACAGGGCCTCTCAGTTGTACTGATTGGATAGAAACTGCCCTTCAGGCCAAAGGGTTACTTGTCCAGAGATACAGGCTGGCAGAGATGAGCAGCCCTGTTCGCTGTGAAGGCCAGGAGGGTTCAGGCTGGGTTTATTTGTCCAGTGTGTTATGTATGAATGACAGCACCTGTAATCCCAGCAATACGGGAGGCTGAAGCAAGAGGTTCACTGGGCCCAGCCTGTGCTATTTAGTGATTTATGTGAAATCATGTCTTAAAACCAAACCAAGGAATGCTGGGGATGTAGCTCAGTGTGAAGGCCCTGGGTTCAACCCCTCCCCCCATACTACTGGTGTGTACTTGATTTAAACTTGAAAGTGTAGAGATAGCTGAGGGACACTGGAGAGGGTTGGTATTTTGGGGGGGGGGGGTGCTGTACCAGGAATCAGACTCAGGACCTTGTGCTTGCTCGGCAGGTGCTTATGCCGCTGAGCCATGTCCCTGGCCCAGGGGGAGGGCCTTAAAGTGAGCAAGCATAGATCAGCCCTGTTTAAGTATCTACTGATAATTAGGTAGTTATGGACTAGTTACTATTTTAGCTTTGCTGGAAAGGCCTTAGTCTGGCAGTTTCAACCTTTCTTCCACCCCTGTACCCCCATCATCTGAAAACCAAAAGCAAGTTTCTTAAGTGGAATAACTGCCTGTGTGGACTATGAGGTGGGAACCTTTGAGGTTGACCTCTGTTTACGACCTTCTCCGCCAAGTTGTTTCTCCTTCCCCAGTTACTCCGCCTGGGCCTCCTTCAGAGCGTGCACTTACCTGGCATTGTGACCGCCTCTCAGTGAGCCTCTCCCAGCCCAAGCTTTGGCATCCAAGGCAGGAACCCTGCTGCACTGATCTCCAGCATCCCTGCCCTGATCTCCAGTAACCCAGGCCTGGAGCAGCTGTTCAGTACCTAGAGTTGAGTGCCCCAGTGGGTGATATGAAGTGACAGTCACCTACTGTCATCTGAGAGTGCATGCTGTCTCTCTGTCTTATCTAGTACTGGGGATGGAGAGGCTAGATCTGTCTCACTGAGTCACGGCCCTGGGCCTGATTTCTCCTCATTGCAATCTGGGTTGACTGAAAAGTCAAGGCCTGTGATTGTGTGACCACTGGACCGTTGTACTTACCTACGGTGAGAAGCAGCAGGGATGGTGAGCAGAGGGCGCTGTGTGCTCTACGAACTGCCTTACGAAGTGGGACTCAGAGCCACCATGAACAGGCTGTCCTGACTGCTGTGATGTGACAGTGACCCTAACCTACAGAGGTCTTGGGCGGGGATGGGAACGCTCAGGTGGTCAGTCGTCTGAGGTGTGTCTCCAAGAGGAAGAGATTTGATCTCCACCTACAGCTGCGGTTACTGATCTGCACTATGCGCTGGGAACTGACATCTTCGGGCCTGGATTTACTCCAGGGATGGTGTTCAGACGTGTGCAGTATTCTTAGGTTTTGTTTCATAAAATACCCTCTCGAGGCCTCCACATGACACTGCCCCACTCGGCCACACCCGACGAGGGCCAGGAAGGACCAGGTGGGGTCAGTGCCTAGAAAACAACCTGAAAAAGCAGCGCCTCACTTAGCCTTGCGCTGCCTCTGAGCGCTCTAGCGCCCCGCCCCGCTCCCAGCTCCATTCCCCAGTGCGGCTGCGCCAAGGCGGGGCGGTGCTTGGCCCTTTGTTGTGGGCCCCAGTTTCCCAGGACACCGTGCGGCGCCGAGGTGGGGCTATGCAGATGAGCACGGGGGGCGGGGCGCTTGCGGCGGCAGCCGGGGAGGGTCAGTTGGAGGCAGGCGCTCATTGAGGCAGAAGGAGGTGACTCGGCCCGAGGCCTGACAGGGACTTATCCCGCAGAGACCAGCCCGCGCGCGTGACCCCACACCCACCCACTCATCCACCTACCCACTCCCCGGGCCGCCTCCTCTCACCCTGAGCAGAGCCGCCGAGGATGATAAACACCCAGGACAGGTAACGGCCTGGCCCAAGCTCCCCGCCCCCAACCCCGCGTCAGCTCCTGAGGGGCCTCCCCGTGAGCAGTCAGCCGGGCCCCCGCCAGGCCCCGCGCGCCCCCCTGGGTCCCGTCCCCACTTCAGCCAGCCCAGCTCCGCGAAGCCCCGCCAAGGGACCCCTTTCCGTCTTTCGGCACCCCTGCCTGCAGCCCAGCCCCCACCCGGGCCTGGTACCCTGCAGCCCCCCAAGCCTGGGCTCAGCCTTACATTTGGGACCCCCTTTTTCTTAAGCTCTGCTGAATGATGCCCACTTGTCTCCCACACTTGGCTTCCTCCTGCAAACATCACCTGAATCGGTTCCCATTGCCCCCAGATCTCTCTCTCTCTCTCTCTCTCTCTCTCTCTCTGTGTGTCTCTCTCTCTCTCTGTGTCTCTCTGTCTCTCTCTGTAAATCACGAAACCGCTTTGAATTGGCTCTTGGTGAAAACTGCACCCCCAGCCAGACTCCTCACGTCACTGCCCCGCTGCCTTTCGCTCCATCCTTCACTTGGCAACCTGACCGTACCCCAGGGTCCCAGCCCTCCAGAGGCCTCTCCTCTGCACCCCTGTCCCCATTAGGTCCTATCTTTCCTGCCTCCTGCCGTCACATCTTTTATTTCTCAAACACTTTGGACCTGATTCCTTTCCTTCATCCTTTTCCCCTAAAGTATCCCCGCAACACTTCTAAACGCCCTGCCCTTTAAACACTGACTGCCAGCTGGTCCTCTTCCCCTGCTGATTTATAAGATCATTGGTTCATAGAACCCTCTTTCAGTGAAGGCCTTTAAGGGCTCCCCACTGGCCTTGCACTTCAGTGCCTTCAAATCCATCTCTGGGCCCGACACAGGGCCTGTGCAAGTTTCCTCCTCTCCAAGTCCAGTTGCCCCCATGCATTGGAGAGCGGCTGCACATCCTCCTGAAGTAAGCACTTAGAGGATTTCCACACTTGCGTCGGGTATCCTTCCCTTTGGCCAAACTAGGCAGAACTGATAGCTCAGTTTTTCTTTTCTCTTTCCAAAGCATCTTTTCTCATCCATCTCCCTCAAGTATATCCCCTATTTCTGCCCTAGAAGCTTTTCAATGAAACACTTCCATAACTTCCTCACTCTCAGTGTTTAACCATAGTTGCTCCAGTATGACAGGTGGGTTCCATTTGTACTTAAGACCTACTTCCCTTCCTTATCTCTTTTTAGACTTGTTGCTGTCCCCTTCCCATCTTTGCAGCTCATTAGTTCCCTACACTAGCCCTTTAGTCCTCAGATTTGACCTTCCAGCCTCTGCCCCTCAGGGAAGCCTCATTGTTTTGCTAGCAGACCCATTCCCTGTGAGTCTTTTTAAAGTGTGCCATGGTGTCTCCAAAAGGAGACTTCACTCTTGTTACAGACACAGCCTGTCTTCTTATTACCTTTCTTCATGTGGGGGCTCTAACAGCCATCCGTGGTTCTTCTCAGGCTTGGGCTCCTTTTCAGCCATCTCTAACTTCCCATCTCTCGTTGTTTAGCAGCACTGTCCCTAAATATTCAGGGCAGATTTTCAGTTTTTCTTGCATCTCTGACTGTACATCTGAAAAGTCACAGGGGGGGCATCACCTTCACAGATTGGCCAAATTTTCCTAGGGCAGGGCCTGGTTATTAGCATAATTTTAAAAATTCCCAGGTAATTCTAATGTAGAGCCAGAGTTGCAAAACACTGTCCCCCAACTCTAGGATTTAGCCTGTCCTATAAATATTCCTTTAGTAGGTATCAGCTCTTCTCTGTCAAGGGCCAGTCTGCTTCAGGAGTATTTTTGTCTTTGTTACTGTCCACAAGTATCCCCGATACTGTACCTGCCACAGCCTCTCCAATTGCTTAGTTCTTAGCCATTAGCCAGTTTTTCCCCATCAGTTCCCAAACCCTGATCTGGTCTTCTGACTCCTTTCCATCTGTACACACAGATGGAAACTGTATTCTCCATTTCCTAGTTTTTATTGTGCTTCTCTTTTTTTTTCAGTACTAGGGGTCGAACTCACGACCGCCTGCTTCCAGGGCAGGTGCTTATGCCGCTGAGCTAAATCCCCAGCCCCCCATTTCCTAGTTTTTAATGCTCATTTGACCCGGTATCCCTGGCTGCTAAACCCTCCTTGCCTACAGTCTCACATGCTTTTCTGTTTCCTTTTCTGAGACTTCCCACCTTCATCCTCTGCTCTTGGATTCCATCTTCTCTTGCCTCATTCTCTCTGGCACTGGGGTGGTAGAAATGGCTTGTACTGGATGGTGCTGGGTGCAGAGGCTGATAATCAGAAGGAAGGCTGTGTGTGCCAAGACTGTTGGGCAGGTAGGAGAGAAGCTAGGACAAGTCCAGGGGTAGGGGAAGCAGAGGACCCTACAGCACAACCTGCTTAAGGGATATTCCACGTAGGTTTTGTCACTGGTTGTGTCTGCCGCAAGGAATTGGAAGGTGGGACCTCTCAACAGGAACTTTGAGAACTGATCTGGTGTAAATGGCCTGTGCTTTGCAGGCTGAGCCCAAAAGACTGAACACTGGGAGTAACACAGGGGTCTTCTTCCACTGACTGTGAGAGACCTCATCTTCTTCACTTAGCCAGTGTGTGGCTATGTAAAGAGGGGGCTGGGTGAGCCCTAAGATTCTTTCCAGCCTCTTAAGTGGCAAAACAGGCTTGCCTGTCTCCAGGGCCCTCTCTGTGTGTTGGTAATTCGAGGGGTTTGGCCCTGTGAGAGGCAGGTGGAGGGTGGAGCCGTCTGGCCTGCCAGGGCCTGGGCAGGAGTGGGGCCTTTGATAGGCTCCTCCACTTTAGCCTGGGGGTGGGGTGGTGTTGTGTGCAGGGTGTCTGGTTTCCTTGAGTTATGGCAGTCCTGTTTTCATAGCATGCTTCCCAGCCTCCTCTGGCCTGCTTCAAACTTTGTAAAAGGAATCCTCGTAGAGTCCTAACTAGGAATTCCGTTAAGAGATTGGAGCGGAGTCTTTTCCAGTCTGTGTTCTTGGTGTTTTATGTCTGCAGAATGGGGAGCTGGTTGGGAGTTTAGCTCCTATTAGGTGGGGGATGGGACCTTTGGCTTCTCTGGCTCCAGTGAGAGACTCAGGAGTTGGACGCTTAGTTTCCTGGAGGAAGAAGAAGCTGCTGAAGAGCTGGCAGTATGTTTTGAAAACAAGGCTCTTCCTTTCCAGTGTTGTTCTGATTTGTACCTCCAAAATGTCAAAATTCCTGATGGTTAAGGAGGGAAGAAAACCAACGTAAGTCCCTTTATTATGGGATTTAGGAAGCCAGACTTGGTGGCCTTTTTTCTGCTTGGATTTGTGGGGCAGAGAGACAGTGTCTTGCTGGGTTTTGCTTGGTGTCTTGTGACAGTACCGTGTGTGGAGAAGCTAGCCCTGACTTGATCACCATGTTGCAATCAGTCTGTTTGCTGGTGGATTTTGGGGAGATGGAGTTGATACTACAGGTGGATTTTTGTGGGGGCGGTAGGGTACAGGGCACAAGAGCTCACCTGAGCTATCCTGAACATATTCACTGACTGTATGGTTTCCTGGGTAATGGAATAACTTTCTCTTCTGAAAGACTTTGGTTTTGGTTATTTATTATTTATTGGCATTATGGCTTATTGGGCTTAAGGAGTAGTAGAACCAGTTTTTAAAACTATACCTTCAAGGTTAATCCACAGAGGAAGAGAAACTCCTAGTCAGGAATCCCACCCAAATTGGAGATTATGTTTCAAAAAGCAACGCAGATAATAATAGCAATTCCTTATTCTGCCAAGAAATCCAAGTTTAGCCACAGAGTTGCTCAGAAATATAAAAAGGATTGAGGAGTGGGGTAGAGGGATTTTACAAATGTGTGTTTCTAGAAAAAAGTAATTCATCCCTTTTTGAAACAGTATACAGTGTTGACTCAAGTTAGTGCCATGATTTGGGAAGCTCACTGAAAGCTATGGGCCAAAAATGGCCAATTAGGTGGTCAGGAATCTTGTTACCTGAGGTGAACAAGGCAAGTAGTTTCCCGTTGGCAGTAGCAGCAGCATAAAATACTTTATAGAGAAGAGAAGCAGTAAGAAAGTATCCTAGGCCCTCAATAACTATAAACAGTGATGTAACTGTATCCTTGGAGGAAGGCTGCAGACTGTGATAAGCTTACTACACTAATCAGATTGAAGTACTTAGAATGTAAAGTTAGTCTTATTTTAAAGCATGATCACCCAGCTGTCTGTCCACCCTTGGTAGTGTGTGCGGTGTACCTGCTTTTGGCAGATGTGCCACTGTCAGCTGTGTGAGGAGCAAACCTCAGGTACATTCTAGCTGCCATTGTACATGTGTTTCTTATGGAAAATCAACCACAGCCCAATTTTGCTTTCAGCATGTGATTCAGAGTGGTGATGTCATTTTCTTTTATTCATACTTAGCAGGGAGACTTTCTGGAAGGCCTAAAGGCCCTAGTGAAATGACCTATGCAGGGCAGCTGCCCAGGGACCCTTCTCAGATGAGAAGGGAAGTGGCAGTTGTAAATAGGTCTGTACAGTCACAGTAGACTGGAGGTGGCCACCACCTCCCACCTTTCTTCCTATTTCTCTTTTTAATACGTGTTTTGGGAACCCTGGATTGTTCTCCTTTTACGTAAGGATTAGTCATCAGAGATATTCCTAGTCTCCAAGAAAAAGCAGCCTGTTCAGAGGAAGCTAGGACAGCCTGGGTGTCCATGAAGCAGGGCCTGAGACATGAACTGTCAGAGGAGGGAGGTAAAAGAGGGAAGTGAATGCTGAATACTGGGAATTTGGTTCTGTGAAGGTAGGTAACACCACAGCCATCTGGTCTTCTCAAGTAATGGAAATCGTGGGGGAAGGGTGCAGACTCATATGTAATTGAGACCACTGATTGAAGTGAAACATGATCAAAAGCTTATCAAAATGAATTTGAATTCAAATATTTGTTAGAGTGTGTGGTTGCAGAATTTTATGTTTAGTCTCAAGTCTGCGTAGCAGGCTGTACTCTGCTTTGACCAAACTAAATATAAAAATCAAAATTGATATAAAGTCAACTGGAAGTGATTCTTTAACCAAAGATCCTATGGCAGGAGATTTAGGAGGTACCCTAGAGATTTAACAACAGAATTTGAGGACTGGAGATGTAGCTTGGTGGTACAGCGCCTGCCTGGCAAGTGCAAGGTCCTGAGTTCAATTCTCAGTATCCACAAAAATGAAAAACAACAACAACAAAAACAACCTAAAAACACAACCGGGGGGCTGGGGATTTAGCTCAGCGGCATAAGCACCTGCCTTGCAAGCAAGCGGTCATGAGTTCGATCCCCCGTACCGATAAAAAGAAAAAAAAAAAAAAAAAAACCACAGCCGGATTTAAATTATAAAAATGTGAGTTATTGTTAACATCTACCAGCAATACATCTGTTGCATACTTATTGGTAGCTGGTGTATGAAATCATGACTTGCTAAGGACATTTCAGACACGGTTTCACAGATGCTTTGGAGGCAGCAGTGATCAGCATACCTGATCTTTCAGCCTGTGGACTGAATTTCTTTTGGTGGTAGAGATGAAATCATGCCTGCTTCCTAGTGGAGTGACCAGGATATGAGGAAGGATTGAAAAAAACTAAGCCATTTATAAATAAGATTAATGGGAATATGAAATCTAACCTAACTTGGACCTTGTGACCTTGTGAGTTGTGTTTAGAAGCCACATTCTCTTATACTTAAATTTTATTTTATTTTTGTACCAGGGATCAAACTCATGACTTTGCGCTTGCCAGGCAGGTGCTTATGCCGCTGAGCTAAATCCCCAGCCCCAAGTACTTAAATTCTTTTAGGACTCACTGTTCCTGATGAGGTTGGTGGCATATTTTGCTGCAGTACCAGTTGAACATTGAAGTCTGGTTGGAGAAGGCTGTTGCTGGGCAGTTTTGTACTCCTTAGTGTTTCTAGCCAACATATATGCATGTGTATCCCTCTTCCTTTCTCACTTGACAAATCAGATTTTTTGAAAGAGAAGCAATTTGCCACTTATTGCAAGTAACTAATAACAAGTGCTTTACAGTGAGCAGTGAAGGTAGTTATTGTTATCTAGTGTCCACTAAGATTTATCCCTGCTGTTTATGGTAGAGCACTGGGCCCCACTATAAGATCACGAAACAACTCTCACACATATGCTGTTTTTGAAGGCTTAATAGGGAGGTGCAAAGCCTTTGCACCATTCTTGTATATGAATGGGGAGGTCAGTGATTTGCTATCATCATATGGACTTAACTGCATTTATTTGAAGAGCAAGAGATCAGGAAACCAGAAATGTCACAGGCTTATTATAGATTAGTGGTAGATGAAAGGCAAACTCCAGGGATTATTTGTGGGAAACCAAAGGGGATTCTTAAAATACAACAAAAGAAAAAAACCCAGCCTACTCTATTCTCATCACTTCAGGGGCTTTCTTGTTTCTGCTGTTTGCATGTGCGCATTAGCAAAAAATCAAGATGATAATTGGAAAGCAGGCCTGCTGTCCATGCAGCTGGAAGGTGTAAAGATTGTTTGAGGAGCACTTCTGTAATCCCAGCACTTGAGAGCCTGAGGCAAGAGAATCACTTGCAAGTTCAAGACCAGCCTGGGCTACAAAGTGAGCCAAAGACCAGCCTGAACTGCATAGCAAAATCCTGTCTCAAAAAGCCAAAAAAAAAAAAAAAAGTGGGGGGCTGGGGATATACCTTAGTGGCATAAGTGCCTGCCTGGTAAGCATGAGGTCATAAGTTTGATTCCTGGTACCAAAAAAAAAAAAAGTTCTTGAGGCACGTTTTCAGTGATTATGGAAAAGATGGCCATGTTGGTGTTTGCATGGGAAAATGGCCGCAGTTGTGTTCTCATCATCTGATGCAGAATTTCCAAACAAAAACAAAATTTTGCTAGTTGCTTCTATTTGTGAGATAACTTCTTTGCAAACAGAAGTGGTCCTGAACCGAAGTATCACTGTAGTTCCTTATGTAGGACTCTGGCACCAGAATTTTAGAACTGCAGGGACCTTGGTGATCTATTTGTTTTGTGAATCCAAGCAATTGTAACATGCAAGGCAACATCTCTACTAGTTCAGGGAGAATCCGCTCAGTCCTTTGATAGCTCCAGAGATCAGTGCAACCAGGACAGCTTGCTCCATGGCCCAGGCTTCCTGGTGCTCCTACAGGAACCTCAACATAGGCCAGAAATGGTCATTGCAGAGTGAGAAAGCACTCATACTGTATGTGTGGGGTGAAGCTTTATACAGGGAAACCCCTCACCCTTGTCTTCTTTTTCCTGGCCAGGAGACTATTGTTTACCCCTCAGTACCTTGGAAGGGGAAATCAGAACTTCTGTCCTTAAAATTTGTCAACAAAAAATAACTTCTTGTTTTGTTTTAAGAAAATAACTTCTGGGAAAAAAAAAAAAGAACTTCTGTCCTCGAAATTTATTAGTATTATAGTCATCTGTTAACACCATTAGCAGCTGCTGGTGAAGGCAAGAGGAAAAGAGTAAGGATGTCCTGGGGTTTTCTAGAGGAAGTTGGAGGGTGGGGCATGGGGTTGTTATCCCTAGATAGCCCTGCTGCCCCAGGCCCCTGTGTGCTTGGCAACTTTCAAGGTGCTTTTAGGTCCTAGGTGAAATTCCTTGAGAGATCAGACCCTAAGCATTGAGCAGTGACAAGTTTGGACAAGTCCCTTCCTGGCTGGGCTGGAACGATAACACAGTCTGTTAGGGGTGAAAGACCTCCGGGTTGTCTATGTGGCTTTTGTGCCATGTTAGATGTGGTTTCGATTTTTCGGCTTCCTATGTAGCAGAACCCAGAATTGGCATGAATGTAAATATTTCCCACTGGGCTGGTTCAAGCTGCCAAAGTGACACCATGAACCACGACCTTGGGGAGAGGCCACACACTGGTGCGCTGGCCCCAGCACACTGCTGTGGTCCTGTCCACTGCCTTCCAGGTACCCCTGGCTGGCGAGTTGTGGCTGTGGGACAGGCCTGTTGCTCAGTAACAGTGTACATGCAGAGACAGTTTAACTTCTTGTCCTTCATGTGCCCTTGGCCTGGGGTCATCCTAAAGGGTCACAAAATTAGTTTCTAAGGCAACAGTGGAGTAGACTAGAGCCAGTAGACCCACCTGAAAGTCGTGGTAGCCAGTAAGAGCACAACTTGGAGGTGACAGGAAGCTTCTGTAGGGGCTTCTCACCCCCTTAAGGTCACCCCTGTGTCCCTGTACCTAGGTGTCTATTCTGACCACGTTCCTGTACTCAGGTCATGAAGGGACAAGCAGAGGAAGACAAGGAGGCCTAGCATTTGGTGGCAGGCTGCGTACAAACTCAGATACTCTAATCTGTGCAATATAACACCTCTCTGCCCAGGGAGCCACAATTCTGAATTTTGTTTGTTCTTAACTCTTAGAGGGATTTGGCTTCCTAGGGTCAGATGTGAGATCACTTGGAAAGTTGGCCTGGAGAGTCGCTCAGGGATACAGTACCCAGTCCACATGGCTTCTCAAGGCCCACCCGCCTTGCCTCTTGGGTCTGAGATGAATGTGTGGAGGTCGGGATTTTGCCACAGAGGAGGTTGAAGCCCTGCTGGCTTAAGGGAAGACTGGAGCACCAGTGTGGAGGCCTAGCACACAAGCCAGAATCCGATTCCTTCCAAGGCGTGCAGCGCTGCAAAGTTCTGGTTTGGAGATTTTTTTTTTTTTATCGGTACTGGGGATCGAACTCACAACTGTGTGCTTACAAGGCATGCCGCTGAGCTAAATCCCCAGCCCCTGGTTTGGAGATCTTGGATAGGTGCTCCTTTGTGAGCCATATCCAGCTAGGCTTGCTCCCTTGGCTCTTCTGGATACGCTCTGCTCTTCAGCTTGAGTGTTCCTTGAAGAGAGCTGGTTAGCAGCGGTTCTGGAAGCAGAAGCAGGAAGGACAGGGCAGCAGAGGGCAGCAGAGAACCTTTAGGACATTTGTGCAGGGAGACACAGGGCAGGTGTCGGGTGGAATCTGGGCTGAGTCCTGCTGGTCACTGCTTGGCCTTCTTTCTCTTGCAGTAGTATTCTGCCTTTGAGTAACTGTCCCCAGCTCCAGTGCTGCAGGCACATTGTTCCGGGGCCTCTGTGGTGCTCCTGATGCCCCTCACCCACTGTCGAAGATCCCCGGTGGGCGAGGGGGCGGCAGGGATCCTTCTCTCTCAGCTCTAATATATAAGGTAAGAGACCTGGGCAGGGGAGCAAGGGCACCACTGCTGTCTGCCAGGAGCAGTGATCTCTCTGATCAGTCTGCTGATCCTGGCCCAGGCCAGTAAGGAGACTGAGAATGACTTTTTCTAAGGATGCTACTTGGCCTTTCTTGAACTCAGATGGGGCAGGGGAGGGGGCTATTAGCACCATTTTGGGCCTTTTAATCTGCTGAGATGGCTGGAAGGGCAGGAAAGCATGTGAGTTCTGCTCACTTGAAATCATGCTCAGGGGACATAATGCGGGGCCCCTTCAGTTTACCTGAAAGCCGGCTTTGGTTGGTTGGGCCCCAAGCTAAACCCTCACAAATATATTTGTTTTTGGTGTTTCCCTTTTAGAGAGGGGAGGGAAAAAATATGATGTTGGGGAAAAGCAAAAGTATTCAGGTCAAGGAGGCCTAGGTTTGAATCTCAACTTTGCCGTTTATTACTATGGGAGCCTGGGTGGGTTGCTTAATTGCTCTTGGCCTTGTTATCTCAGAACTGAAATGGAGATCCGAGTGTCTGTCTCAGGTGCTTATCACGATGACTGTAGGATATATGGGACAGCACCTTTCATGCTACTTGGCACCTAGAAACACTTGCTAAATATTTCCTTCTCATTCTTTTTGCTTTTACCAACATCATCTGGTCTTAGCAGTGAACAGGTAGCCAGCACACAGATCAGCATTGCCAGCATGCTCTTTGTCTCATGCTACTGCGAGACTGGCTAAAGGAGCTCCCAGTGCTAGCTGGTTTAGGGGGTAGATGCCTAGAAGCAGTAGTGATCTGGGCCTCTACCCTGCTTTCCTACCCAGGACGAGAAGCTCACTGTGACCCAGGACCTCCCTGTGAACGATGGAAAACCTCACGTCGTCCACTTTCAGTATGAGGTCACTGAGGTGAAGGTCTCTTCCTGGGATGCAGTCCTGTCCAGCCAGAGCCTGTTTGTAGAAATCCCAGATGGATTATTAGCTGATGGGAGCAAAGAAGGGTAAGGAGCAAGTGAGCAAAGAGGCCCCCTTGCAGAGGAGGGTATATTTTTGGGGGATAACAGATTTATAGGAATCTTTGCATTCCCCCCAGCTCTAGATTTCCCAAGGTTATTTTTAGGTAGTAAAACAGACTTGCTCTAGGTCACTGTCATGTTAACCAACACCAGTTAATAGCCCCACAGTTCACACTTCCTAGCAGACAGCAGGTTCTCCTGGGTCCACCTTACAGCAGCCAGGAAGCTCAGACACAGCAGGCTGGGGAAACTCTCCACACAGCCTGCATTTGCTACATGCCCCTCTCAGTAGCAAGCAGCAAAGAGCTGGCCTCTTTCTAGATCCCAGAGCTTGTCTTATGAGTTAAGTCAGATGAAGAACTCCCATTAGAGAATGCAAGAATTCAGCCATTTTCCTCAGGGCCTGTGGCTTTTCTCTGGACTTAGGGACCGTGGAGTCCTGAAATGAGAACTTTCTCCCTGAGCTTCTCTATGACACTTCTGTTAGCCTAGGAAGCCCTGTTTTTGGGGGAGTAAGGTAACAGGGAGGTCTGGGGAGGTTGTGGTGGGCCTGACTAGTTCCTTGCTTCCTGCAGATTATTAGCACTGCTAGAGTTTGCTGAAGAGAAGATGAAAGTGAACTACGTCTTCATCTGCTTCAGGAAGGGCCGGGAAGACCGAGGTGAGAAACAGCAGCAGTGGGAGACTTGCAGGGTTGGGGTGGATGCTTGAGGACTCCTCTCGAGGCAGCGGCCTCTGAAGTGAGGGCTGCGGCCCTAGGGTTAGTGAAGGTCTAGCGCAGCCATGGCGAACCTTTTAGAAACAAGTGCCCAAACTGTAACCCAAAACCCACTTACTTATCACAAAGTGCCAACATTAGGGGCTGGAGGTTTAGCTCAGCGGCATAAGCACCTACCTTGGAAGCAGGCAGTCGTGAGTTCGATCCCCGGTACCAATAAAAAGGAAAAAGACAAAACAAAACAAAACAAAGTGCCAACACTGCAATTAAAGCGCAGTACTGAGGGTTTTGTTTAGAAAAAACTCATACACTGACATTTTTTTGTCTTAAAAGGAGACTAAGATGTGTACCACGGAGTCCCACCACTGGCTAGTACTTGTTTGTTCATGTCATGGGGGTTTTTCTCTCATTGAGCTTTAACTTGTACTTCTCATCAGAATATTTCGGGGCTAGGGAGTTAGCTCAGCGGCGTAAGCGCCTGCCTTGCAAGCAGATAGTCATGAGTTCGATCCCTGGTACTGATAAAAAACAAAAAGACAAAAAAGAAAAAAAAAAGAATGTTTCTTATGCTCTCTTACAGCTCCACTCCTGAGGACCTTCAGCTTCTTGGGCTTTGAGATTGTACGTCCAGGTCATCCCTGTATTCCCTCTCGGCCAGATGTGATGTTCATGGTTTACCCCCTGGACCAGAACTTGTCCGATGAGGACTAATGGTCATAGAGGATGCTTTGCTCAAAAGCCACAGTGGGGAAGAGGGGAATTTAGGCAGCCCTGGGACACGGAGGGGGCGCCTCCCCATCTAGGGAAGGATGCTGAGGGGCTCAGGGTGAGGGTGGCCTGCTGTGTTCTTGGAGTTGACTTGTTGAAATTGTTTTCCATAAAGAACAGTATAAACATATTATTCACATGTAATCACCAGTAGTAAATGAAGATGTTTATGAACTGACTTTAGAAGCTTTTTAAACTGCACTGTGTGACATGCTCTATCTAGCCTAGGGGCGGGCATTGCCTAGATGGGGAGGGAGGATCTGGGTCCAGGGCCGAGGGCTGGTGGGCAGCACCGTCAGGCTCCGGCTCCTGCTGTTGGGCTTTCTGTTTCAGTTTTTAAGACTTATGTATTTTCTTTCTTTTGCTTCCTGTCACCCTAGGACTCTCTTGAGTATAGGCTTTTTGGCTCCTGGGCAGTGTCCTTGGATTCTCTTTGACACTCTGCTTTGGCTTCTCCGTGCGTGCGTGCGTGTGTGTTGTCCGTCCTGGTATAAACAGGTCACTACCAACCCTTCCTTCTTTACAGCTTAGTGTTATTCTGGCATTTGGTTAAGCTGGCTTAATCTGTTCAATGTTATCAGTGCATTTTAAATAGGAGCACTGAAGTTCACTCCCACCACCAGGGCTTTTTGGGGGTGCCTGGGCCTTAATCACTAGCCAGACTCCAATTCTCAAGTTACTGCCAGGAGTTTTTTCTCCTGTGACACAGGTCCCAAGGTCTCCTTCCTAGGGTCATGACGAGCAGACAGGCCTGGGAGCTGTGGGGGAGTCTGTCGTTAGGGTTAGGATGGGTACTGGAGCACAGTGCTGCCTGCCTCCTCCAGCAGGCTCTGAGCAGCACCCGAGAGGGGAAGGCCTGGGCAGGGCAGTGGCCAACCCTTCTGTATTTCCCCCTAAGGGCTGAGGATGGGGGAAGAATGACAACTGGGTGAGGGATGTGGAGGTGTCAGGAAGGCAAGTGTATTGTGTTACTGTGTCAATAAACTGATTTAAAGTTGTGGTTGGCCTGTTCTTTTTTCCTGTAGCGGGACCAGTATCTTACCACTATCTTTTGGGTCTGGAGCAAACTTACGTGCTACTTGGGAAAAGCTACAACGTCTTAGGGCAAATAAGCTGGCAAGTCTCTGGGGCCATGCTCCCCCCAGAGTGTGGAGTTGCTAGGAGTCTGGGCTGCGCTGCGGGAGTCCCTGGAGAGGCAGGTGTGTATGCGTCAGCTCTCTGCAGCACAGTGACCCGGCAGAGCCTGAGCATTTCTTTATAGGAAGGCTGGGTCCTAAGGCCAGGTTTTGGGTTTTAGGTTTGCATGGAGCTGCCTCACATTCTCATTCCTGAGGTCTTTGAAGGAGACAGCACACACCTTCCCTATTGTAGTTTTCTCCTGTGGGGTCCTTTTTGGAGCATCCGCTCCCCTGTGCCACCAGCCCAAAGAATCACCTCAGGGCTGGGGATTTAGCTCAGCGGCATAAGCACCTGCCTTGTAAGCAGGCGGTCGTGAGTTCTATCCCTGGCACCGATAAAAAAAGAAAAAGACAAAAAAATAAAAAATAAAAAAAGAATCACCTCAGTGGCACTGCAAGAAGCTACAAGCACCTTTTATTTCTGGTCCCTTTTTAAATTCTCTTAACTAGTCTTTTTTGATCTTTTTTTTTCTCCTTCTGAGAAGGGCATGTTCTTTCACCTTCTACAGCTTTGCAACTGTCTGCCCTGACCCTTACCTTCTTTGTGGGTCTTGGTTTTTTATGGCCTGTTCTTGTGTTACTCTGGACCCAGTCATTGACCTGGGCTCCACCTGCTGTCTCTTAAAAGAAGTGAACTCAGCATCTCCACTGAAACAAGACTGGAACCTGACACATTGAGCTGAAATCAGAATGACCTAAAGATGTCCCCTGCGAAACAAATGACTTCTAGAGGCAGCATAAAGGTGGAAGGCAGTTTTAAATTCTTACATTAAACCTAATGAGTCCACATGTGGACAGGGATCTAAAAAAGGAAAACAAATCCCAGCGTTGGGAGGTGAAGGCAGGAGGACTGCGGTTCAGACTTCTGGGGAGCTCAGCAAGACCCAATCTCAAAAACTAAACAGGGTGAAGTCATAGCTCAGTGGTAGAGCATCCCTGGGTACAGGGAGAAATAAACACACCACCCGCTTTAGCTTTCCCCCCAAACTGGCGGACTGCATGGAAATGTGCTGAAGACCCAGATGTCATCTGTTCTTTCCTATCGAGTACAACCAGAATTAGAAGCACTGAATCAGGCTCCATTGAGCCCATTTGAGATTCGCCTTTCAAGAGAAAACTGGTTAGTGAAGTGACGGGCAGGAAATACAGTATGCAAAGGCTGTGCTCCAGTTTAACAGGCAACTCGGATGGTGGAGAGGGGCGGGAGATATGTGCAAGGCAGACTAAGTCTAAATTTAAGAACAGGGACATTAAAAACTTTATTCAATAAATACAACAAATAATTTAAAAATAGACTTCAATTTCAAAGCCAATGAAGGAAGTAGAGACAAAGGGGAAAAGGGCAAAGGGGGAAGCGGAAAGGAGAGAGGCTGAACAGTGGTTTCACCGAACTGTTCCAGAAGGTACTACTCTCAAGAGTCAATCAAATGCTTTTGACCCATAAGCTGTTAGCCCTTGTTCCAGTGGGGTGAGCACAGGAGCCCCCTGGACAGGAGTGACCCTGTGGGTTCTGGATCAGAGAGCACTTGGGAGCTGGAATGGTTAGGGAGGGCAGGGAGTGTTGGGGGTGGTTCCCCCATATTCCTGAAAACTATCCGTCCTGACTCCCAAGCAGGTTTCAGTAGTGCAAACTTATCTCCCAGCTGCGTAGTTTCGGTAAATGGGATCTCAGGGTGCAGAGTGGGCCAGGGCGCAGGCTATAGCTCCAGGTGTAGCCAGTGGCCAAGTCAGAAAACAGTGCTGGGTGGGAAGGGGCGACAGGGCAGGCAGTCTGGACGACTCAGCAGCTCGCTGTCAGCCAGGGTGAAGCTGAGCATCTGCATGGGGCAGGACACCAGGAGGACAGGAAAGGTGCCCGAGGAGAGAAAAGTTGGAGAAGGGAGGAGCAGCTCAGCAGCAAACTTCAGGAGAAATAACCAGCAGCCCTCACAGATTTGTGATTGTCTCTTAAAAAGATTTATTTTCTCTTCTTGCCTGAATGTACAAAGGCAAAAAGAGTACAGTTTGTATATATATATATATATATTTATATATATATATATAAAAAACAAGGAACTTGGTAATGTACACTTTACAGAAGGGAAGAATCAGGAAGACTGAAATTAAACCCAACAGAGCAACGCCAATGGAACAAAAGCTATGAACAGCAACGTGCCCCTCCAGCCCGGGCCTCCAGCTTGCCCCAACCTGCTCCTGAGGGGAGGGCTGAGCACCAAGGCAAGCGGGTGGGCTGGGGCAGGAGGGGCGGGACAGGGCTGGGAGGGGCACGATCCCAGGAGGGGATCACTGGAAAGCTTCCTGGGATGCCCTAGTAATAAAACAAATGACAGAGGCCCAGAATTACAGAGCCAGCTAGCTGCCCAGTTGAATCTTGGGGGCATCAGAGTAGACACTGGGATGGTGACGGTATGTGGTGGTAGCAAGTGATGGGGGATCACAAAGCCTGTATGCAATGCTCTAGCCCTTCTGCAGTCACCCTCAACTCCTGAAACTCAGTCCCACCCTACCCTGGAGCCTGGAGAGGAGATGCAAGAAAGGACCGCTTCATTCTGAGGATGCCCTCCCTCTCAGCCTGTGTGTCTGGTCCTTTGACCTTGAGGTGTGTGGAAAAGAGTGAAGTAACAGCAGGAAACGTCATACATGTCCTTATACATGTATAAACCAGGGCAAGGGGTCATAGGAACTGTCATGCCTTAAACAGGAAGAAGCAGGTGTGGACCCTAAGAGCAGCTTTCTTAAGCTGGACTTTCTTTCCTGGGAGGGTCTGGTGGGGTGGCTCAGAGGGCCTCAGCCTGGTGGCCTAGGGCCCTGGCAGCAACTTTGCCCAGACTGTGTATGTGGGGTGGGGATCCTCGCTGTGTTTTTTCTCTGAGTATCTACTGGATGTCACAGGTACTGTTGTTTTCATAGGGAGAGGCTGGAGGCAGACAGCAAAGCCCTCACTCAGCACATGGCAGGGATTGCCACGCCTGCAGCTTGTCACTCCAGAGTGGGGGGACACCCCAGGGGAATCAGGGCAGACAGTGCTATCTGCTACTGTGGCTTTCCCTTGCTCTTCTGGGTGGCTTCTACTCTCCAAGGGAAATCTGGGTATTTTTTTTTAAGAGAAAAATTTAAAAACTAGCTGTGCCCTCTGTAGAATAAATCTGCCCTGCAAATGCAGAAGTCCCTCTTGTCTGTTACAGAACAAAGTGGAAAAGGCAGGAATGTGGACTCATGCCTGCCAAGTGAGATACAGAAATTGCTCCAGCGGTTTCTTTACACTATGTACAGAGCACGCTGCAGGCCAGCGCCACAGATACAAAACATACAAGTCAAAACCAAATCAGACTAGAGATGGGTGAGTGGCTCCACCCAGAGGAGCCCGGTGGTGAAGTCAGGCTGAAATGTGGTCACCCGCTTGGGTGGGCAGCCCAGGTCACCTGGGTGAAGTGTCCACACCAGTGACTTCCATGGCTGGGGGATGGGAGTGCTTGGGGCACTGCCCGCTGGGGGAGAAGAGCAGTGAGGGCTCAGGGAGGCCATTGGGGGCTCTGAAAACAGGTCTAAAGCAGTGAGCTTAGGGGAGAGCTCAGGACCCAGCTTTAAGAAAAAAATAAAGACACGGACACGGACACCTAGAGGGAGGGCCTGTGGGCCCCAGAGGAGCTCTGCTATGGGACGCTCCCCTCGAGGGATTGTGCTTACTGGTCCCAACTCTCTGCCCTTATGTTCCCTCTCAGCATTCTGCAGTAAAGCACCCTTTTTCTGCCTATGCTGATGTCTGTTAGTCTTTCTCTTAATCTGGAGGGCTAAGGAAAGGCGGCAGGGGCAGGGACGGACAAAGGGATAATACCGCACAAAAGCAAGACACGAAAGCTCCCCATGCTTCAGGGGGTTAAAAATAAAGCTACCAAATCATCATCACTTTCTCAGTGCAAGAGCATAAAGCTCTGACCCAGAGAGACCGTCTTCTAAGGAGAGCAGAGAAATGTTTGTCGCCTCTGGGCACGGCCCACGCCGCGCTGGCTCCCGTGAGGGACACTTAGGTGTGTTATCTTAGGGTCTGAGGGTTGAGCAGCCTCCCAGAGCCAGTGGCCCCTACAAAAACAGCTCACATTGGCACACACAGAGGGGACAGAACGAGCTATAGAAAACCAGGTACTTGTAGACAGCAGTGGGCTGTGTACTCCATAGCCCCAGCTGAGGAAGCTACTCAGAGGGCTGAACACATGGGACATCTCCAAGAACTGCTGGGCACACGGGGTCTGCCTGCTGGGCTTTGCCCTCCGGTGACTCTTCGGCCCCCATTCTGAGGGAATACTGTTTTATCTGCCTGAATCTTAAGAGCCAAGCAAGGAAAAAGAAGAGGTGAAGTCAGGGTGGGGATCCCCCCTAGGAAAGGCAGCAGGGGGTAAGGACAGAAGAGAAAAGGGCAAAGAGTGGGGAAGTAAGAAGCAGCAGGACTTCAGGGGATTCAATTTCACAGACTCCATTCATGAGCCAGCTCTCTCCCCAGTGGCTGGGGAGCCCCAAGCTGGTGCTGGGACCCCTGCCTCTGCCTGCTGGGGAGTGCAAGGCCCTGTGGGGCAAATGCCTTGATCTCCCTCTCCAGGCTGGGCTCTGAACATTTATCTGTGCTCGCGAGGGAAGGGGGAAGTCTCCGTGCTGGAGACTTTGTTTTCACAACTACAGAGAAAACAGCCCCCAATTTCTTTCCTGAGATTCTAATTCTTCCACATGCTGCCAGTTCCCAGGGCCCAAACCGCTGGGGAGGTGTGGGGTCTGGTGACAGTGGGAATGGCAGTGACGGGGTGGCTGCTGTGCTGTCTTCAGACCCTGCCCAGTGCTGGGGGGCCTACCTGCGGGGGCCGGGTAGTACTGCACCGTAGCAGGACAGGGACTTGGGGAACAGAGCAGTGATTTCTCTGGGCTGAGGCCATGTTCCCCTGGCAGCTCCCCTCTCTTCGTCTCCAGAGAGGCCACAGCAGTCATGACTGTGGCTGAGAATAAATATTTCTGCTAAGTACCAGCTCTCCAGCTCCTGAGGAAGAGGGAGGATCAGGACGTCCAGGCTCTGGAGGTGGCAACAGGCAAGGGTCTGCCTTCAGTCATGGCTGGAACGGCAAACAGGATGACCAACGCCATCTAACTGATGTCTAAATGGCACCTCCAGCACCTCCTAAGGTGAGGCAGTCAGGGCTGTGAAGCTGACTTTATCCAGGCACTTGCTCTGCAGGGGAAACACAGACAGGTAACCAGGCACTCAGCCCACCTAACCAGGCACTCAGCCCACCGGCATAACCATCACAAGATGGCGCCCCAAGAAAACACCTGGGGAAGACCAGCACTGTCCCCAGGGGACGCATGTGCCTCAGGTCCTCTCAGATGTGCACAGCTTCCCAGGAGAGGCAGGCCAGGGTTCTACCTTCCCAGACTGCTGACCCTTCACAGGCCCTCATCTAGGTCCCACAGGCATCCTGAGACCATGCAGCAGCTGGCCCTGCTCTGTGGCCCCAAAGTAACAAAAGTCACTCACCATTCTCACCTCCTTGGGGGCGGGTAGAGCGAGGGCGCAGAGCCTTGCTGGCTGGCAACAATGGCTGTAGAAGAAAGCCCTGGGCGAGTGGGAGGACAGGTTAGTGAGGTGCTTGTGAAAATCAGACCACAACCAAACCAAGGCAAACTAAAAACGTCCCTCACTTTTTCACCAGTCTTGGCCTGAAGCTGGGGTCTTGTACACTCTCCTACTAAGCTACATTCCTGGCCCTTTTATCTTTTGGGGACAGGGCCTCCTAAGGGTGCTCAGCCTGGCCTTGAATCTGCAGGCCTGCTTCAGCGTCCGAAGGAGCTGAGATTTACAGGTCTGCACCACTGTGCCTGCTAGAAAAACCCACTTTGTATTTCCTTTCCTCTAGCTGGCGGGGGGGAGGGGGGATTTCCACTTACACTCTTAGCTTTACTGAATTGTAAGGTGCTGACAGATGAGAGATCTACTACACGGCCAGATGTGGTGGCTGGGGCAGAACAGATCTGCTTCTCAGCTGCCCATTTCTCTTCTGCTGTGATAACACCTGCTCCCTATTCTCCTGAGCACCAAAGCCAGGACTGAGAATCCTCATGCTCCAAGGGTACAAGTCAATGCCATAGGCTCTAATGACTCACTGCAGGCAGCTGGGACTTGGGAGAGCTTAGAAACTTAGAAGACTCTTGTGGGTGATGAAAAATGGATGGTAGGGGCAAGAGGCTCACCTGCTGCATAGGGTAGGTTGTACTGTGTGGGGAGCAGTGAATACCCCAGGTGGTGGTGGTGGTGGTGTGTGGACATCAGGCGCTGGGAAGGGGAGGTACGCGGCCGGTCAACACTCCGCTCGGCTCCGCCTGTTCCCCCGACACTGCTGCAGCTGCCGCCACCTCCAACCACCCCACAGCCTCCCCGATCTCGCTCCTGAGTTTTATCACTTATCTAGAAAGGACAGGAGACACAGGAGCACTATGGTGACACCCACAGGAGCCATGTAACCAGTGCCCCACACTCATTAGGACACCTAGGAACTGAGGAGGAAGCCTGAGGCCCATGTTCACCAGGACCCCAGGCATGGCCTTAAGGCCTGGGGGGAGGGGGGGGAGGAGAGGGTCCCCAGGCTTCCCCTTACTGTGGGCGACTTGCTCTTGTAGTGGCTGGCATGCTGCTGCAGGATGTCCAGGGCTTTGGACTCTGAGCTTGATTTACAGCTGACACTGGGGCTGGCTCGTGCCTTGTCGGCATCTTCACCACCTGAGACCTTGCTGCCGTATGGGGAGAAGGAGTAGCTGGAGGGCAAGTAGGAACCTAGGGAGAGAGACACCAAGCACTCTGAGATGGGAAGTGGGGCGCCTTCACTCCTGGGGCCAGGAGGCCATCAGCTAGCCTAGGCACAAGCTGGGGTATTTTCTGCTGGTGACTTTGGGGATGAGACTTCCTGCTTGTCTGTTCTTTATGGAACTCTACAGGGAAGACGAGCAGAGGGACCATGAAAGGGTTTACTGAAGCCGACATCCCCATGTCCACTGTACTGCTCTGAATACAGTAGTCTCGGGCTCATCTTGGAGCAGGTGTGTGACCCAGTAGCGAGCTCACAGCATTTACAGAGGGCTATGGGGTGAGCTGTGCCCCAGAGACTACCTAGCTGGTCACCCTGAGTAAACCTGTCACCTTTCTGAGTTTGTTTCTTTTTTTTTTAAAAATCAGTACCGAGTATCAAACTCATGACCACCTGCTTGCAAAGCAGGTGCTTATGCCGCTGAGCTAAATCCCCAGCCCCCTGAGTGTTTCTTGATTATCAAAACAAAGATACCAATACCCTATTTCATAGAATAATGAGTATTAATAAAAGATAATGTACAAAAATCACCCTGGACAGTACCTAGACCACAGCAAGTCCTCAGCAAATGGGATTACCCCTTGTTTAGAGATGGGTGTGGTGGCAGGGAGTGAGGAATGCCTCAAGGGCAAGACAATTCTGAAAAGAGATCTTGTCCTCCCTTAGAGGTCTCCTGCTTGGGTCCCTGGGGTCCCAAGTGATTCGATCTGAAGAGGTTGGGAGTATTAAGAGTGAGAAGGCCCGGGGTGGTCTGAGTGTGGGACCTGGGACTGGGGAGGAAATAGCATTCCAACAAGGCTGGGCTCTGCAGCGCAGAGGACTGAGGACGGTTCATGCAGCCGGGTACATGTGCGTGGAGACCCGGAAGTGAGGCGCTCACAGGCTCTGGATATGGATGGCAAATGGGGGACTGCTTGTCCCCAAAGGGGCTCAGTGCGCACTGTGCGCATGCGCTGAAATACCACCGTGGGCCTCACTAGTATTACACCTGCTATGTTGATCTAAGTAAAACAATAAATGAGCAAAACAGAGGTGCCCTCCCACCCCACAAAAATCCCCTCTGGCTCCTTAGGTAACAGAAATCAGTCAGTGGCCTCTTCCTGACAACATGTGAACCCCAATTTTCCATGCCCCGAAAGCGCACACGCAGTCAGCGGTGTGAAAAGCCACCCGCTGCCGCCCTCACCCGTCTGCCCAGGCCCCACAGCCGTGTGCGCCTCACCCTGAATCCCTGCATCTTATTCTTGGAGGATTTCATCTGTCCAGATGCCTGAAAACAAAACAACATCCCGGGAGAGAGAAGGCGGCCGTGGGAGGAAGGCAGGGTTACCTCCGTCGATGAAAACAAGCAGTGGAGGCGGCCCTGAGGCTGGGCAAAGAAGGGAGCAGTGGGCCCGCGGGGTGTACTCAAGGGCCCACAGGGTAGAACAGCTGCTTTACAAAATGGCGCAGTCAAAAAGGTGCTGTTGCCCTGCACAGAGGCCTGGGCTGCTAGGCCACACTGGTGCTGTACCTGGGTAGTTCTGCATCATCACGGAGGGCATGCCCCGGTAGCTGGGGTGGCTGGGGTCGTAGGACTGGCTGTAGGAGTAGCCGTGCATGTAGGGGATGTAGGACTGGTGCTGGGTGAGAGGGGAGGACACAGGCACATGGACGCTGGGCCGGGGCTCCTTGCTCCCAAGGCGGGACTCTTCAGATGAGGGCAGCTTGCAGTCACTACTTGTGCTTTCCTTCCCATCCTCCTTGGGGACAGAGTCCTTACTCCGACTCCTTTCCTCCTTCAATTTGCGGTCCCGCTCCTCTTTCCACCGCTCATCCTCTGACTTGATGTCTGAGTACTTGGCAGGATACACGTAAGTCCACATCCGGGGCTCTGCCTCCTGCAACAATCACAGAAGGAGGACTGGGTGTGCACACATGGGACACAAGCCTCAAAGCTGAGGACCCGGTATAGACCCAGAGTGGACAGTTACTAGGCCTCTCTGGTAGGGAGGCCCTCGGCTGCTACTGGTTAGGGCTTACTTACAACCCAACTCTAGTTTCTCTTGCTGCAAAGTTTCCCCTCTGAAGGAAACGAAGAAAAAGCAAACCATCAGCGGGTGATTTCCAGCTCAAGAACAAGCACTTAGGGCAGCACTCCTGGAATGGAGGGGCAGGGGTAGGTAGGTTCACCTCTTTAGAGAAAGCTTGGGATGGGGAGCAGCTGCTGCCATCTGGATCAGAGGGGCAGTTACTGGCACCGAGAGGGAAGGGACAACATTCTAAGACTAACTGGAATTCAGAGCCTCTGACTTGGTTGCATTCCCAGTCTTTCTTAATTTATTTGCTTGTTTATTAGTACATGGGATTGAACCAATACCTTTGCACTGAGCTTCATCCCTTGTTTAATTTTATTTTGAGATGGTTTTGACCAAACTACTAAACTGATTAGGCTGGGACTGAATGAAATCTTTCTGCCTCTGCCTCCCAGAGTGCAGCAACTGTAGGCATGTGCCACTATGCCCAGTTTGGTAAGTAACTTTTAAAGTAACTCAGTAACTGAGTAATGTATTCTTTGACTTTAATGAAATGTGACCACCTTGACTCATTGTGTAGGAGCCAAAGAAGTAGAAGGGATACTAGATTAGGAATCAAGATTTCTAGGATCTAGTCCTGACTCTGCTAGTGGGGTTTCAAGTAACTCTAGAACAATTAAGCTAACATACCTGGGTCTTTCTTGTCAAATGAGAAAATACCTTTTTATGGAACTGAAAATGATTTCTAAAAAATATTAAAATGATGTTGGGAGTGGTATGCATGCCTGGCAGTCAGGAGGCTGAAGCACAAGGAGTATGAGTTTAAGGCCAGCCTGCACTACCCAGCAAAATTTTGTCTCAAAAACTACCTCAAATCCAATCAAATTAAACAAAAAACTCAAAACATGAAAATTAAACAAAAAAACCCAAACCAAGGTGAGGAAGTTGTGGAAGTACACAGCTGTCCTGCTACTCTCAGTGGTGTGGAAGCCTCATGTGAGTGAAGTGTCCTGCACAGCATCTGGTCTTCTTCCCAGGAGAACCAGTTACCTGTCGGTACCAGAGGATTGGATCCACCTCTGCCTGGCGGCCACACTCAGTACCCATCTTGCCCTCTGGGGCCTCCTTGCCCAGGTGTGCGGACTCACTCAGCTTCACCTTTAAGCCTTCTGGGGTATGGCTGGGGAGTTTGGAGGCATCGTCCAGTTTGGGAATGATGACTGACTTGGCAGGGTCAGTGCCCGGCTCCTTGGCCTTTCCTGGCCCCAACTTGACCAGGTCTGTGAGGCTGGGGGCCTTGGTGAGGGTTGGCGGGATGGACGGCTTCTGCTTCCACTCGTCCTTGAGCACAGCCTCGCGGTCCTTGAGGCCCAGCTCGGCTTTCTTGTCGGGGCCCCGAGGTGGCTCCAAACCCTGGCGCTTCTGCTGCTCCTCGTACTGCTGCCGGTAGGCTGTATTGGTGCTCAGCAGGTGTGCGTGGTAACCCTGGTCGCCGTAGCCGTAGGGCGGCACATAGGCATACTGGTTGTAGTATAGCGATTGCATGTACACGTTGGGCCGCTGCTGGATGACCGAGGGCTGCTGGCTGGCACCACTCAGCTCCGGCTTCTTTTCCTCACAGGTGTCGTTCTTCCCTTTGCCCTCCAGGCTCTCAGGCTCCTCCTCCTTTTTTGGCTTCAAGGCCTGGCTCTCTACGCCCATCTGGCTGCCAGGGTTCAGGGTCCCGGGACTGGCCTGGGCGTAGCTGGGAGAGTAGTAGCTCTCGAAGCCTTGGTAGTATGGGGAGTCTTTGCTCTGCTGCTGCGGGGGGAAGAGTGTTTTCTTGGCCCCCTCCTTGGCCAGCTGCTCGGGGTCCTTTGCCTTGAGGCTGTCCACCTTGCCCTCCCCGTCCTCCACTGCGTCTGAGATGTCAGAGTAGGCTGGGCTGTTGGTCTTTACTGAACCCACCTCGGCCCCATTCTGGGTGACCACATGTAAAGGTGTCAGGGGCTGGGTTGGGGGGGTGCTGTCCAGGCGGCTACTGCCACCGATGGAGGGGCTGGGGGCATTGTCTGTGAAGCTGTAGATCTTGTCGGCTTCAGCTTTGATGCTTGCCAGGCGGCTCTGATGGGGGTCGGAGGAGCCGTTCAGGAGCCCCTCCGCCTTCACCCCCTCTCCCGATGACTCCCTGAAGGGGCTTTTCCCCTCTTCTGCCTGGCAGCTCTTCCCAGGGGTCAGAGGACTTTCCAGCTCCTTGGCCAACTCCTTTTTCTTTTTGTCCTTTTTCTTCTTGTCCTTGGCGGGCGTCAAGGCAGGGCTGACTGTGAAGGGCTCCCCCATCACGGTAGGCTTGGGCTGGATGGGCTTGAGCTGGGGACTGCTGGCCACAGCCTGCACCACGGTGGTGGCGAGGCCCGAGGTGGCACCTGGGCTCGCTGCAGTGAAGGTGGCTGCCTGGAAAGTGTAGATCTGCTGTGGGGGCAGTGCAGGTGCGATTGGCCGGGCCGACTTCAAGCTCTTCGAAGGGATCTTTTCTGTCTTCAAACCAGAGGGCTTTTTACATTTTTCTTTCTCCATACACTTCCGTTCCAGAGAGTCAAAGGCATCGTTGCTTGTTTCATCCGTTACCAAGGGCCCATCCTCGGAGCCGTCATTGGACAGGGCCCCGAAGTCCGTGTCCCCTTCTGCACTCAGCTTTTTCTTACAGAGGCCTTTCGTGCTGAACTTGCCTGAAGGAGAAGGGCTGTGGGGCTCTACAAGGCGCACTTTGGGGGTAGCCGAGCGGGCCGGGGACAGGGAGCCCTTCTGGTGGCCGGCTGCGCCATTGCAGCTCGTGAGGTCTCCATGCAGGGCAGGCTCCTCTCCGTACTCGCTATCCCCGTCGGCCTCCGGCTTGCTGTCCTCATCCGTGTGGGCGTGGGCTTGGTGGTACTTGAGTCCATTGATGTGCTTGTACTTCTTGTTACAGTTTGGGTGGGGACAGTCGATCAGGACTGGGGAAGGGCAGTTTCTGTCCAGGACAGTGGGTTCCACCTTAGTCCCAGAGAGGGGCCCAGGGGCTGAGCCCATGGAGTTTGTCCGGACTCGCTTGCTCCCCTTGGAGTCCTCCGAGCTGGAATTCAGCTCCATGTCTGACAGGGGCTTGTTTTTCCGCTTACTGGCAGGGGAAGGGCTCGCCTTGACATCCTCGGAGGAGCCGCTGGCCGGCGGGCGATGCTCTGAAGAATTCTGGCTGCCCCGACGCCCTTTGCTGTTGGCTCCTGCTCGAGTTTTGCTGCCACTGCTGGTCCCTTTGCTGTCAGAGGCTGTGGCGGTCTCGTTGACAGGTGTGTTACTGTTGGGACGCATGCGTTTGCCTCTACCACGACCATTGCGCATTTCTAGATCACTGGTGGGAGAGTCACAGAACCTTGGCAAAGGATAAACACAACGGGGTGTTAAATAAGAGAAGCAGTTGAGGCTTCTGGGGAGGTTGAGGCAGGAGATCCTGAGTTTGAGCTACATCCCCAGCCTGCCCTCCTTTCTCCCTTCACTCCCCTTTTAAAGTTTTTATTTTGCCAAGCATGGTGGGGCACACCTGTAATTCCAGCACTTGAGGGGCTGCGGGAGGAGGATCACTGCAAGTCTGAGGTTAGCGGGGTTCCACAGTGAGTACTCAACTACATAGTGAGATTCTGTCTCAAAAATCAAGTTTTTATTTTGAGATAGGCTCTCACTAAGTTACTAAGCTGCCCAGCTAGACTTGAACTGGTGATCCTTCTGCCTCAGCCTTCCCAAGTGCTGGTATTATAAGCATGAGCTTTCTTCTCCCTTGCTTTGATTTTTTTTTATTAATGTATGTTTGTGATACATGGAAAATACATTTATCGTGTGGAAGTTCATACGTTTACAGTACATGTGGCATCTTGATCCTTTCTACCTGTTCCTCCTCTTGCAGTTTTTTTTTTTTCCGTTTGAGACAAGATCTTGCTATGTAGTTCAGGTTGGCTTTTAAACTCAACATGTAGCCCAGGCTGCCTAATTCTCCTGTCTCAGCCTTCTCAGTACTAGATTACAGATGTGTTGCTATCATGGCAGATTTTGAAAAAGCATCTTTAAACCAGTTTACCTAAAGCCCCTAAAGAACCTTCTGGAGGATGATCATCACTTTCAATAACTACGATCTGGTGAGAGAGCTTCAGATCATGTGAGACCATGTGAGTGCAGAGCTGCAGTGTCCCCAGACAAGTGCCTGAGGCAAACCCTCCCCGACCTTCTTCTCTACCTCCCTGAGGTTTGTTCTGTCAGCCACAAGCAGTCCTGTGGCCAAAATCATGGTTTGGAAAGGATTTTAAAACCTCAGAGGGACACCGAGGCCAGGCCTGCTGTGACCCTCCCACAATCCCAAGCCTGACTGTTCACCACGACCAGAACCCACCTCTGCTTTTAGACAATGCTGTTTCTTGAACTTCTCACCACGAAGGTGCACACGGGTAGAGAAAGCACCCCTCCACCCAGGAGGCCCTGAAGCCCTTCACAGGCATCATGCTTGGTGGGACACGCATTATTTCAGTGTCTGGATGCTGGCACCTAAGAGACGTTTCTAACCTTAAAGTTGCTTTCCATGGAGCCCAAAACATTATCTAAAATGCAATCCTCTGCTAAGGTTAGTTCCTCTTTAGACCTGGCTTTGACTTGTACCTCAGGGAGGATATGGAACAGGTTGTTTCTAAGACTCTGGGAGCTACAACAATAGCAGAAAAAAAGCAATCACTAAGTTGCCCAGGGTGCGCTCAAGCCTTCTGCCTCAGCCTCCTTGGTGCTGTGACTGCAGGGCACTGACCCTGCCAAGTCACAGCTTCACACCTAGCTTCTCTGTTTTTTTATGTTTTATTTTTTTGGCACTGGGAATTTCAAACCTCAGGACCTCATGCTTGTCAGACAGGTGATGGCTCTGAGCTATATCCTGGCCCTCTTTCTTTTGATGGGGTTTCAGTATGTCACCAAGGCTGGCCTTGAACTTGGCTTCTGGAGGAGCTGAGAGTACAAGGGCAGCATTGTGGGTGGCTGGGGAACAGGGTCTCTGGAGTCCATGCTGGCCTTAGGGTCCCTTTGCCAAAGCCTGTGGGGTGCTGGGAAGTGAGCCCCGTGCAATGCCTGTGACTGATGGGGAGGCGTAGTAAATGGGGGAGCTCCGAGCACCACGACAGTGGAGGACAAGTTGACATTGGGGTTCCTCACACTTGTGGCAAACTGGGTCCTTTTAGGACCACATTGTAAGGAACACATTGTAAGGTGCCATTCCCAAAACGTCAGTCTTTCCTCATAACTAAACATTGTGCGTGTGGTGCTGGGAGCTGAACCCAAGGCCCCACACACATCCGCCGGTGATTTAACAAGGAGCTGTACCCCAGCCCTGAAATGTTAACTCTCAAATTACAACCTAGAAAAGTCCTGTGAAGCCAGTGAGGGCTTAACGTATTTATAAAACTGAAAATGTTCTTGAGTTTAAGATTCTGGCAAACAGCTATCATTACAGAGCATCATCAATAAATTCCTGTTAACTCAGACTTGACAGCCTTGGTTTCAAGGAGGCTAGAAGAAGCTCGAATGCGATAGGAGCTTAAAAAAAAATTTCTTCTCATCCTGCTACCTTCTCCCCCACCCAACACTTGAGTGTCTGTAAGTCATTTATTCTTTTTTTTTGGTACTGGGGATTAAACTCATGACCTCATGCTTGCCAGGCAGGTACTTACACCAGTGAGTGAAACCCCTGCCCTATTTATTCTTTTTTTCTTGTACTTATTGTTTTTGGAGATTGAATACAGAGCCTTCAAATTCAGTTACATCCCCAGCCCTTTGCAAATTCTGAGACAGTCTTGCCAAACTGCCCAGATGAGATGTGAACTTGTAGTCTTTCTGCCTCAGCCTCCTGAGTGCAGGCGTCGCTGATGTGTGCATTACACCCATCTTATTTATGCTTTTTACAATGCCAATCAAATACAGTGCCTTCCCCGTCTCTATATCACTGATGTCCTTTAGAAGCTGGCATGTAATTATTCTCTTCAGATAAAGGTTCCAGGGCTCCCTAGGAGCATGGTTGACTCACCGCGGGGGCGCCCAGTCATGCCGAGTGCAGTCGAGGAGCGTACCCACGTAGGTCTTGTTCCTCCACGTCACGTTCACCACCAGCATCCCTGGGAAACGGAAGATAGAGATGTGAATTGTGAATTCCCAGCCGGTGCAGTCTTACTGGGCGGCGCTTCGCCTTCTACCGGAGGCACCACAGAGCCCGGCACAGACGGCTGGGGACCACTGCAGAGGCTCCGAGCTGGGGTGGACGGGACAGCAGTGCAAAGGCACCCGAGCCAGGGCAGAGGAGCCCTAGCCAGCTCCATGGACTGCGCAGCCTGGTGCCTTGGTACTATGTTGCACATGCGTCCATCTCTTTTCTGAAAAGTGAGGCGTCGCAGTGCAGAGCATTTACAGGGGTTTTCTTACTTTACATGGGTGGGGATGCGGAGTGCAGTAAAACTTCCATTTCTCACCTCATGCTACAAACTGGAGTTTTATCCATGCTGACTCAATAAGTTTAATCCATTCATTTTGTGTGTGTGTGTGTACCAGGGATTGAATTTAGGAACTTGCATTTGCCAGGCAGGTGTTGTGCTGCTGAGCTACGTCCCTGGCCCAAATCCATTCATTTTAATTGAGCTCAAGTATTAATTTTAATATAATTTGATTACAGCTTGTCGCTCTGTTTGGGGAACATCTTAGGGTTTTTCGGGGGGGGTTCATTTTCACTCTTAAATGGTATCATAATGAGTATTCCTAACATATTGTTCATTTTTATTTAAAAATGCTTTAATAGGGGGCTGGGGATTTAGCTCAGCGGCATAAGTGCCTGCCTTGCAAGCAGGCAGTCGTGAGTTCGATCCCCGGTACCAGTAAAAACGAAAAAGACAAAAAAAAAAAAAAAAGCTTTAATAGGTAATACAGTCATACTTCAAAAGTCAGCCAAAGAACTTCCAAGCAAACCCTAAAATAAAACAAAGTGTTACTGTTTTTCAGCCTTAAAATTCTACTCAGAAGCATCCAAGGAAGTGGGGCATGGCAGTGCACAACTGTAATACCAGCACCCTGGAAGGCTGAGGCAGGAAGGTCCTCCAGTCCAACCAGTGGAAATCAGTAACTAGTAAGATCCTGTCTCAAAATAAAACAGCTGGTAAGGTAGCTTAGTGTAAAGATCCTGAGTTAAGTCCCCAGTACCGCGCGCACGCACACACACACACACACACACACACACACACACAGAGTGTATTTAAGACATTTATATTCCTTTCCAGTTTATTGTCTATTCATATTTTGATCCTGTTTCTTTCCTTTTGCTGAATTATTAGTCTTTTTAAAATTTGCAACTTTTTTTTAGTATTTTGGTTCTGGTGATTTGTGGTAGATTAACTAATGGTCCACTGGAAACCCCAGCTGAACTGAGTCAGCGAGGTGCTGGATGTGGAAGGTCCACATGAGGGTTGCTGCCAACAGCGTAAAAGCAGAACCAGGGGGGAAGATGGTGCTGCTGATTCTCCTGGAGAAGCTTTGTCTCGTTGGTTTTCCTGAAATGAACTCAGCTGTTCTCATCAGGGTCCTTGCTGTCACTGAGATGCCTGTGGTTCTCTTCAGGGGAGCTCTGGTCCTTACTTTGAGCCTCACTTCCTGGCTCCAGTGCAGAGCCCTCAGCCTGCTGGCACAGATCCTTCATCCCACTGGTGTAGACTCTCTAGCTTCCACCACTGACCTTTGGGCCTTCCCAGTGCAGATGTTTGGTACAGACTTGCATGGGACATTGTCGTGGACTCTAGGCCTCCATGGGCTCTAGGCCCTCAACTGGATTCTTTGGGTCTGTAGTGGGCAGGCAGCTCTCTTCCACTGTTTTGATTTGACTTTTGGGTGGATGTTATAAAATAATCCCATAATTATGTGTCCTGTATGAAATCCATTCCCTTGCAAACACTGAGAACAACAGGACTGAATCTAATGCCTTCCCAAGGACTATAGCACCAACCCTTTATTATAGTGCCCAGGTGAGACTTGATTGCAATCCTCCTGCTCTGGTCTCCCAGACTGCCAGACTCCTGGGACCACAGGCCTGCCCACATGCGTCACCCGTCTGCAACTTTGAATACACTGGAGTAAAGGCTTTGCCTGAAATACAAATCAGGTATGTTCCTTCAGCATGATGCTTGTCAATGGTGGTTAATAATATATAGAAACTACTTTTATATTGTTATGTTTATCCATCTTTTATGGCTTCTGAGTTTTTGTCATATTTTAAAAGGCTTTCTCCTATATTACAGATTTTTTCACTGTTCCTTTCTTTTCTTTCTTCTTGTGCTGGGGATTGAACCCAGAGCTTTTGCAATGAACTACAACCTTGACCTCTTCAGTTGTACTGACTGATTCCAGCACTGGGCACCTCTCCCGTCCTTTTTGATTTTTCACTTTGACAGGGTATCCTTAGGCGGCTACACTGTCCAGACAGAACTCCAACTATTCCTGTTTCAGCCCCCAAATCCTGGAATTATAGGTGTGCACAACAGGCTTCAATGATTGTTCCTCACTTCTAAAACAGACACTGAATGACTGACTGAGACCAGGTGTTGCTATGCAGTCCAGGCTGACCTCTAACTCAAGGTGATCCTTCTGCCTCAGCTCCTCTGTGCACTTGTTGGCTGTGCAGCCTCTGGTAGTGGTCCTGTCTTTGCCCATTTTCAATTGCTGAGCTTTGAGGGTTCTTTCTAGCCCACACACCAGACTCTTTGTGTAATATTTCCTCCTCTGCAGCTTATCATTCATCATCTTAACGGTATTTCCCAGAACATGTGTAATTCTGTGAAATTCTATATTCTATTTAGCATTTTCCCTTTTGATGGATCAGGATCAGTTTTGGTTGGTTGCTTGTTTTCTGAGATATAGTTTTACTATATAGTTCAGGGTGGCAGTGAAGTTACTAGGTAGCCCAAGCTGGTCTGAACACACAGCAATCCTCTTGCCTCAGTCTTCCCAGTGCTGGTTACAGGCATGTGCCACCACTCTGGGCTTTTTTTTTTTTTTTTTTTTTTTTTTTTGGATACAAGGTCTCACTATGCAGTTCAGGCTGACCTTTGTAGTCCAGGATGGTTTTGAACTTGCAGTGAGTGATCCTCCTGCCTCAGCCTCCTGAGTGTTGGGATTACAGGCATGTGCCACTACGCTTGGTTTTTTTTTTTTTTCTTGATTTTTTGAGATGGTTTTGGCTATGTAGTCTCAAGCTGGCCTTGAACTCCCTATGTACACTATGCTGGATTCAAAACAGGGAGATTCTTCTGCCTCAGCCTCCGAGTGCTGGGCTCCAAAGGCTTTTTACCCAAAGAACTGCTTTTGGACATTTGTCAAAAATGAATTGCACACATCTGTGTGCACCCGTTCCTGAGTACTCTGTTCTGTTCCATTACACTATGTCTACCTCTGTGTCATTACCACACAGTCTTGATGACTGTGGCTGTTCAAGTCTTGATACTAGGAAGTCTCCTACGTATCTTTTGAAAGTCTGTTATAGCTGTTCTGCTTTTGCAAGCATGTGATATGAAAACAGGAATAGTTGTTTCAAACTGTGCATGGTGGCACACACACATCTGTAATTTTAGCACTCAAGAAGCTAAAGCAGGAGGGTCACCATGTTTAAGTCCTAGTCAGTTTAAGGCCAGCCTGAACTACAAAGTAAGACCTGGACCCTGTCTCAAAAAAAGCAAAACAAAGTAGTAAAACCAAACTCCCCCCAAAAAAGAAAGTTGGTTTTTTCCTTTCTGTATGTATTTTCTGGTGTGTTTTTTTTTGTTGGTTTTCTGGAGACTGAAACCACGCCCTTTGCACTGAGCTGCATTCCCAACCCTTTATTTTCTGAGGCAGGGTCTTGCTAATTTGGACTTCAACTTGGAATCCTCCTGCTTTGGCCTAGAATCCCTGAGTGCTGGGATTATAAACCTATGCCATCACCCCTGAGTTAGATGGCTAACTCTTGGGCATGGCTTGCTTTATTTATTTATTTATTTATTTATTTTTGGTCTTTTTCCTTTTTATCGGTACCAGGGACCGAACTCACAACTGCCTGCTTGCAAGGCAGGCACTTATGCCACTGAGCTAAATCTCCAGCCTCCTTGGGCACGGTTTTAAAACGACCTTACTTAGCTGTGTGGTGGTGCATGCCTATAATCCCAGCACTTGGGAGGCTAAAGTAGGAGGATTACCTCAAGTTTGAGGCCAGCCTGGGCTACATAATGAATTCAAGCACAGTCCCTGAACTGCAGAGTGAAACCCTATCTCACCAGAGGGGGCAAAAAAAAAAAAAGACTGCACTTAGCTTGTTTGGGGTGGAATCAGAATTTAAGGTTCTTTATCATAAAATCAGTTCAGATGAGAGATGGGGGTGGAGATTTACTCCTACCAAAAACAATCTCATTCTACTGAAATTAGGGCAGGAAAGAACTTTGGTTTAGTTGCATCAAAAAAGCAACTCAGTTGCATTTTGATTAAAACATTTGCTAAATATCTACTTTATAGTGCTGAACATTTCTATATTATCTTACTAAATACTGGCAGTCTGAAATCACTTTTTTTGAGAAAGGGTCACACTACATTATCCAGCCTGACCTGGAACTTGCAGTCGTCCTCCCTTAGCCTCCTAAGTGCTAGGATTACAGGCATGGGCTACAATGTCCAGTGTTTTAAATCACATTTTTGAATAAGGCAGGGATACAGAAATAGGAAGTGTAACCTTTGCATAAAGATTGTTAAGCTACTTTGTTTTGTGTTTTATTTTCCAGTGCTGGCGATCCAACCAGGGCCTTTCACATGGCAGTCAAGTCCTCTACCACAGACTTCGTTAACACCACCTGAATGAGAACATCTGAGTCTAAAAGGCCAAGTCATTTACGGAAGGCCTTGCTGTTAATGCAGTCAGAGCTGGGTGAGAGACATGGCACAGCTGTCTGTGATGAATTATTCTGCTTCTCTTCACAGTTTTCTTAGCCTGGTCCTTTACTTGACCTCAAAGACAGACACATACGGGAACACAGTGGGGAGGGGTCTCCCCTTTCCCAGCTTGGCATCTTAAGGAAATGACAAGGTCTCCTGGGAAAGCAGCTGCACCTCTTTCTTGCAGCGGTGTCTCCCCACAGTGAGGGGCAGCTCTGCTCAGCGCTTACATAGTGTAACCAGGACTGCGCCCACTGACTTTCCAACAGCCAGCATCTAGCTCAGAGGGTGGACCAGGATAGGCACAGAAGCAAGCACAGAAGACATACCAGGCAGGAACACACATTTATAGACACGGCTTCTTCCTCAGGAGTCATCTGCAGACTTCAGCAGTAAGGAACAGGCTGCAGGGGAGAGGGTCAGACAATGGTGGGAGCAGCGAGGGTAAGCGGGAGGATTCTAATGTGGAAAGCAAATGGAGGAGTGTTTAAATGTCAAAGGAAACACATTTTGCTCAAGTATAACACTCTTTCTACAAGGTTCCAAGCCGAGACAGCTAGGGGAGTAAGAGGACAGGAAGGAAAAGCAGAAAATAACACTAAACAGACCTAGCTTTCTATTAGGGGCTGACTTCAGAGCAGGAAGCAGTCTGAAGTCAGAGGAAAACAGTCTTCATTCTAGAAAGTGTCCTGATTTTCTGTGTGTCCATGAAAGGAAAGCCTGGGCACACCTAGAGACATGGCAGCACCACTGTGGACATGGCAAAAAGAAAGAGGTGACCAGTGTCATCCTCCCCAGAATCCTGAAGACAGTTTCCACTTAGGCCCAACTCCTCCCCGAGCTCGTGTCCTGGTTCTGACAGGTAGCAAGCCTGGTGGATCACCCTTGCAAGTACCTCACTTCTGCTCCAGGGTCTCTGAGTGCTCCCTAACTACTACAGCACCTCCTGCCTTGTTTCTGTCCTATGCCTTTCTCAGTGTCTTCAGCACACAAGCCTGAGAGGTCCTGTGCAGTCTACGCACAGCTGGCCACCTCTACAGGGAAACAGTCACCTCTTGAACTGAGTGCCATGTGTGTGTATTATCTATTCACAGCAATAAATATAGAGCACCCCCCACCCACCCACACACACACTGGGGTTTAAACCCAGAGCCTCTGCATTGAGCTACACCCCAGCCCTGATCTATTTTTGATTTTTTTTTTTTTTTTTGTCTTTTTCCTTTTTATCGGTACCAGGGATCGAACTCACGACTGCCTGCTTGCAAGGCAGGCACTTATGCCGCTGAGCTAAACCTCCATCCCCCCTATTTTTGATTTTTTGAGACAGGGTCTTGCTATGTATTCCAGGGCTGGCCTTGAACTCACTATGCAGCCCAGGCCGGACTCAAACTTGTGACAATCCTCCTGCTTTGGCCTCCTGAGTGCTGGGATTACAGATGTGCACCATCACTCCAGGGTTTTATTTTTATCTGAAGACAGGGTCTCACTAAATCACTAAGTTGCCCAGGCTGGGCTCAAACTTGCTATCCCCCCCAGCCTCCCCCCACTGTAACTCCAGTGCTGGAGTTACAGATGTGTGCCATTGTCCTGGCTAGTTAGTAGTTTTAGAAGGAATATTTCAATAATTTTTTTATTTATTCTTTTGTTTTTCCACAAATAGTTACCTTTTTGGGGGCCTCTATTCTACAGCACTTAGATCTAGCATTGCATAAAACTGACAAAAATCTCTGCTCTTACCTTCCAAGTGCAGAGAGACAGATTAATAACTAAATGAGCAAGTAGATACATGTCAGCGAGGGGTATGTTGCTTTTTTGTTTGCTTTGAGGCAGGTCTTATTATGTAGCACAGGCTGGCCTTGAATTCATGGCAGTCATTCTGCCTCAGCCTCCCAAGGGCTGCGATGACAGGTGTGACCACCACACCTGGCAAGTTTTTCAGTTTTAATTTCTAGTACTACAAATATTAATAGACACAGCCTTTATGTGAGTAGACATAAATAAAACCTTTTAGGTCCCTAATCACTTTTATGGTGAGTTTGAGAACTGCTAACTCTGCTGCATATAGTGCAAGCGCTGCTGCCCGGTGCCTGCAGAGGAGAGGAGCGAACCAGGCTGCCATCGCCTCCACACTGGGAGACGCTGGGAGATGCGGACCAGCCGGTCCAGCACTGCTGTGGGATCTGACCCCTAGAAGTCTGCCTGCCTAGCTGGGGTCCTCCTGGTGGGAAGCTTCTGGGTCCTGCACAGGGCCAAGTGATGACCAGTAAGGGAAGCTGGGGACTCAGCGTAAGGAACAGGGAACACGGCTGAGTGGAAGACCCTGCCCTGGCTGGCAGCTGTGTGCTGGGTGAGCGCCGGCCACTCCGCCTTGAGAGCTCTCGGGATGATGCTGCTCTGCATCCTTGCTCTGAGCCGTACAGTACCGCCTTGCCTGCAGACCGTCCCCACCTCTGGTCTCTGGTTCTGTCACTGAGACTGTCCAGTCTACCTACTCTGAAACACTGCTCCCATGCAATGAGCCAGCAGATGATTACTTACACCCCATCACTGTGCCAAGTGGCACTAGAGATTCAAAATCCAGTAGAGATCTCGTTTCTGGGGTGAAAGTTTTCCTCTGTGAGGGCTGGAGAGTGTTTACACATAAAAATCACTGTGAAGCTGCATCTAATGGTGCACGCCTGTGATCCCAGCACTTGAGAGGCAACTTAGTAAGTTAGGCCCTGTTTCAAAATAAAACATAAGGCATTTTGAGAGTGTGAGGCAGATGGATCCTAAGTTTGGGCCCAGGCTGAGCAACTTAGTGAGACTCTGCCTCAAAAATAAATAAATTTTAAAAAGGATGTAGTTTGGTGAGAAGGCCCTAGGTTCAATCAACAACCAACTAACCAAACCAATCAACCAGGCAAGCAGACAAAGGGAGTAGCTCAGTGGTAGAGCGCTTGATCTAGCATGTCTGAGGCCCTGGATTTGATCTCTAGCACCACAAAAACAAAAACCAGCCAGTTAGGCATAGTTGTATGTGCCTGTAATCCCAGAGGCAGAGTCAAGAGAATCACTTGAGCCCAGGAATTTGAGGCCAGCCTGGGCAACACAGTGAGACCTCCCCATCTCAAAAAATGAACAAAAAACACCACCACCACCACCACAAAACTGCAAGAGGTTTATCACATACAAGGCCATAGGTTCAATCCCCAATACCAAAACCCAAAACCATACTGTGACAGCCAGAGAAAGAAAAGAGGATTTAATGAGTCCTAGAGGTATGTGGATCAGTAAGACACACAAGGAAGGAAAAGATCTTGATGTGACAAACTGAGGCTGAGTCAGGAAGATGGCCTTGACCAAGGGAGTCCAGCAGCTGATGCCAAGGAGATACTTGTCACTGTGAGCTAATGCACTGAAGGGGTACAGGGAATCAGAGAAACATTCTGATTGTTCTGAGCCACTCACTCCTTGCTCCTAAAGCTACTGCTCATCCATGCTCACTTCTAAACCTAAAACAATGAAGGCTGAAAAAACAAAACAATGAAGGCCGTTTTCAGCTTTCTCTTGTTATTTACTTATTCTGTTATACATTTCCCATGTGCCCCGCAGCCTTTCTTTTCATTTGGTACTGGGGATCGAACTCATGACCCTGTACTTGCCAGGCAAGTGCTTGCACCACTGAGCTAAATCCCCAGCCCCTATTCTTTGTTTAATGTAAACACAGGTTTGTTTGTGTATGTTCTTACAAAATGTATACAGTATTATCTGCATTATTTTTTTGTGTGTGTGTTTAAAAGCAGTATTGTGTCAGAGATACCATTCTTTTTTCTTTTTGAAAACGGGCACTGAATGAGAGCTTTGTGTATCCTAGGCAAGGACTCTCTGCTGTGCACTCTCCCTGACCCCTCCGTGGATCTCACTATGCAGTTCAGGCTGGCTTTGAACTTGCATGTAACCTTGGCTGGCCTCAAACTTGGAGCAGTCCTCCTTCCTTTACTTCCTGAGTACTGGGATTATAGATGTGTGCCACCATGCCCAGCTCCAGCCCCTCTTTTATAGTTTGGCCTTTGCACTGAGCTACATCTGTAACCTTCTGTATTATTTTTATTTTGAAACATAGCCTTGCCAAGTTGCCATGGCTGGCATTAAACCTGTGATCCTCTACCTCATCCTCCAGGTGCTGGAGTTACAGGTGTGCATCAGTGTGCCTGTCTCTCACTTCTTTTTAACTTTGCACTATGCACCCAGATGCCTAAACAACCCAGATGCCTAAATCTAGTGTATGGGGTTTCTGGTACTATCTATCTATCTATCTATCTATCCTTTAATCAATATTTAATGGGATGGGAGTAGGTAGAGGCCTGTAATCGAAGCTACTTGGGATACTGAGGCAGGAGAATCCCACATCTGAGTCACTCTGGGTAACTTAGAAAGATCCTGTATTAAAAAAAAAAAAAGGAGTTGATATAAGTCAAAGCCTCCCTGGGTTCAATCCCCAGTACAATGAACAAACAAATTAACTGGTAGGAACTGGTATGCTATGACAGGGCTGCAGTCCCAGTCTATTTTACAATCCAGGGCTGGGGATACGGCTCAGCGGTACAGAGCCTGCCTGCTAAGTGCGAGGTCCTGAGTTCGATTTCCAGTTCTAAAACAACAACAAAAACAAAACTGTCCAATCTATTTTACAGTCCGGTTGAGATACACACATTAACTGGGAGGCCAGGTAGCTTAGTGAGCCGTACCTCACCGTACCTCACTGATGGCAACACAATGAGAGAGAAAGAGCTCTCTGGGTTTCCATGCCCACGCCTGGCGAGTTTGCGAGACAACACACCAAGTATCTCCATCCAGTCTTCCCCTAGAGGGTGCTGGAGCGCTGTCATCTTTAACTAAAGGTTCCTTCAGCACCTAAAAATGTATTTACAACTCATTAGCACCTTGATAGCACTGCTACCAGTTTTATAGCCTTTTGACTCCTGGTCTAGGAAAGTGTGAAATTCTGCA